GGTTGGACAATGTCACGCAAGCAATATCGACAGCTTCTGACCTCTCCGCCGGCGCGATCACATCGGTCCGTCAAGACATGGCAAACACATTGTTCTCTGCAGCACAATCAATTTTCCCACAAACCAGTCCAACCAGCCAGGCCAATGCAGGGGACAGGGCTCAGGTATCAAGTCAACTTCACGAAGCGCCTCCAACACACGAGCCGCATTGCAATCAACCAGACTTTGCCATGTCCAGGCAGATTGCAACCGTCAAGCAAGCATGGCGTGAGTATCAATTTGGTTTCCACCCAAAACCAGCGATCAAGGATCTGGAACGGGCTGGCAAGGTTTGGCGGCGGACCAACTCCGAGACACAGTTCTTCATCCGACGACGACCATTGTACCATGCCATTGAGCTCCTCCAACAACAAGGCCTTTCTGAGGATGCAGCCGTGTCACTATTGGAAAGTTGTCTTGCTAGATTCAAGCATCTCAGGTCCTTTTGTGATGAGCTGAAGAAGGTGATCGCGGAACATCATGCATCTCGCCGTAATTTGGAGGACATTTTGCGCCAATACACCACAGCGTGACTTGGACCAGTTCATGTTATTTCACCTTAACTAGAATCTGTAACCACGGCTGTAGACCGTAAAGAGCTCGCTGTTCGCCTTGATTTTCTTCGTGATGACAATGTACGCAGACTCAGCAAACTCCTTGTAGTCGCAGTTCATGTAGCAGTGATGCTCGCGCGATGCACGGTTGACAAAGGATCCGATTCCTTTCCCACGCTCCAGTTCACGGAGCCCGTCAATCCACATGGGCTTCGATGCTCCCGTGATCTGCAGAGCATACAAGTGATTGGTCGGGGCATCGGGAACCAGTTGACCGTCGTAGGCAGTGACCACGTCACCAGGAACAAGGTCAACAGCCGCAAACACTCCGAGACCTGCATTCTGGATCGACGACATCTTGGTGTAGACGATGGGATCCTTGGCTTCATGGACCCCACGCTTTCTCGCGTCGCGACGCGAAAACGCATCGCGCTTTTCTTCAACGGTCGAAAGCGAAACAAGGGCACGAATTGCCGCTTGTTTCTCGGACCACTTTGCCTTTGGATTCAGATTGGTTAAAACTCTCCGAATAGTGCACGTCCATTGGCTATGACCAGAACGACTGATATCTGGAATATCAGCTCCAAAACCTCTCCAATTCTATTGATATCTTGGATATCAATTTTATTGGTCATGACCGCAGTCATAAACCTCTCAAATTTTTGTGACCGCTGGGTTGATATTTCCTATGCTGCACATCGCATGATGAAAGATCGAGTTCCTGATCAAAGACTTGATGACAAACTTGAAGTACGACAACAAATGTTTTGGAAGAATTCACGTTGTTGCTAATTCGTCTAATGTACAGGGCTACTGGAGAAAAGGTGTATCCGGATGTAAATACTGTAATTCCCACATTGAAACAGTTTTTCGGGTCAAAACAACAGTTGACTGTGAACTGCTTTACAGTTAATGAGGGAATTATTCCTGATATTGTCATGATGATTTGCGTTGACCAGAATTGTATACCTCAATCTCGCACTTGTTTGGGCTAGGAAACGCTTGTAATTGCCTCCTAAGACATCGTGATTGTGAAGTACGATCGATTTGTGGGCTGGCCACCTTCAGACTCCAGTGATGCAACGATTGAAAGATTCCGCATTTGTCTGTGAAACAGGCATTTTTGTATGCGCAAGGTGAACCACCTTTCGAATTCCATAAATAATTCTGAAATTGTTTAGTTTCAATTAAATCTGTCTTCAATTTTGTATTCTTGATAAAAAAATTTCATATGTCGATGTGTTTTTGGAATTCGCAAGGTGAACTGCCTGGCGAATTCAAATTTGTCCAATCAGATGCCGTGAAATCAAAAATCGCCTACGTAGATTCATCATGCATAGAAGTTAATACTTTCTACACTGATCGGGGACTGTGGTGGCGGTTGACGCAAGACATCACCGCCGTCGTGGGCGCACTCAGGTTCGTCCAATGGGGAGAAGCCAAGGTCACCGCGAAATCTGCTACTTCGACAAACGCCAACATGTGGTCATCCCTCTCTTCGACCATCCAGCCCGTGTCGGTGCTGCGCACCGAACCTATCGTGTGCTCATGCGCTTGTGGGAGCGGTGGTGCAAGCCGCCTTGGTGGCACCCATCGCAAGTGCTGAAGTGGCCGCTTTAGCAGTTGCTATGGGTTCTACGAAGACGTCTTTCGTTGGCCCACGAGAGATGTTTCGTAAACAGTGGTATTTTTCTATACTTGACACTGCATATAAAATCCAGCATAAAGGAAATCGATACTTCTGCTTTACGAAACAAATGTTTCGTGACTGTATTGAATCTGTTTCGTACTAACTTAGTATTTGTTTCGTAAATCGTGTATACCTTGTATCTAACGTTACATACAGTATTGTTAATTGAGGTTTGGATTACCGGTATCATACAATATTGTGCTGCTTCCGCTGAAATTTTCACTTTTGGGGACGCCAACGAAATGATGCCACGTTTTGATTCGTCATAAATATGAAATTTTACCCAGTTACGCAGCAACGCACGTTTACTGTTAGGCGTGATGCATTTACAGTTAATATGAAAGCTGATGACATGGTTGCGGGTAAAGAACAAGATATGGGTTGTGGCGATTGCACTTATTTCGCATGCGTGAAGTGACCTCAAACATGGCAAAAAACTGAATATAGCGTACTATGGGCGTGGTCATATCCTGCAATAAGCATCGTAACACAGTCTGATACTCATTACGTAATACTGGTTATTCATCAAATTAACGATGTTTACCACAAACACTATAACGAGCGAGTTTGGCTTTCCATAAGGAAGTCGGTTGTATGTTCAACTAAGTGGGTTGTATGTTGGCCATGTCGCTTTCATTATGGCACGCGCAAGCTTGACTTACTTCGGCAAGTACGGTTTAATGAAGTCACGAGCAGCGCTGACGCGTGCATAGATACCTGGTATGTCGAGCTCACCACATTTAATGCCCCAGCTGGCCACCCCCACCAAGCGCACGTCACCGTTTTCTTCGGTGGTCAACGGTCCCCCCGAGTCGCCGGTACACGTGTCTTCTCCTTCCACCCCTCCAGCACCCAACATCGTATCGGTCACTGGGACGGGTAACAACGCAGCTGAGGTCCTTGTGTTGTTCCAGGTCTTGAGGCTGACCTCCTTGAGCACTTGCGATTGGGGGCCAACTCCTTTGACGTATCCCCAGCCGCGTACCCAGGTGAGCACGTCCGCCTCAACGAAGTCGAACGACACTGCCACAGGTTGGGTGATGGAGATGTCGTGGTCCAAGATTAGGATGCCCAAGTCGACGCTACTCTTGGGGTGCTTGAATTTCTGGATGATAGTGGCCTGTTCCCCGTCGGCAAAACCGGTTAAATAGTGCGTACCCACCACCACAGAAACTAGAGGATAGCTCAAACAATGCGCCGCTGTCAAAACGATATTGGGGGCGATCAGACTGCCGCCGCACACGGTCTCATTAACGGACGCCGCCTTGACCCCAGTCACATAAAGGTGCTTGCCGAATTGGGCTTCCTGGCCCCCGACGATTTCGAAACCGTCGTCTAGGACCTCATCGCCCCATGCGACTTTGGCTGGAACAATTTGGTCTTGAGCCAAGGCAGCGACGGCCACGGTCAAAGCGAAAAGGAGTGCGAACTTCATGATGGAAATTGGAAAATGAATGGTCTTTCACCTAGAGCCAAGTCAATCCAATCGTTTACGTCAGACTGTGATTGCACTAGCACACCAAGTACCAAGGTTAAACAAATGGATGGTTGGGATGTGTACAACAGACATACTGTACATCCAGATCTTGTCATTAACCCGCTAGGATGGACGAGTCAGCTATGGCGTCATAAATATCCAACAGCCTGGCCGATATTCTTGCCAGAAAAACCCACTAACGTTGCTGTATCACAAATTCAAAGATTAATTGAATTTGGATTATCATTTTTAAGACATTCCTCCGCGAGGGGATCGAACCGGCGACCTTTGAGTTAAAAGACCGATACTCTACCACTGAGCTATTTTCCATCCTCCTCACATATTCAAAGGATGAAGGATCTACATTTACAGTAACACTTGCAGTACGGTGGATTGATACACTGCGCGACATACGATCGTACTATCCGCATAAGCTTGCCTCCTTCGTGGTCTAAAAACCCGCTAACGTTAGCAGGTTTTTCTGGCAAGAATGCTGTGAGTATTTATTTATGACGCCAAAAGATGATTTATTCGTGACATCGTGGTTCCGTGCCACGATACATGATTGGTAGAAAACAATCACGCTGAAATTTTCAACCAATCACCTGGAATTTCATTTGCGATTTGAGAGGTAACTGGATAAAATCATGTGGAACTGTTTTCAGCCTATGGATATTTTCACTCTTTTACAGGTAGCAATCAACACCAATGGCATGATGTGGAGTCCTACAAACTGGATTAATTCTCCTCCTTAAGAAACACTAATAGCAATTTGGAGTAAAGGAACCCCTCCATCAAAGAGTCCCCAAAAGTGTCACGGAACCAGGCCCTCCGCGGAGGAATGTCTCAAAAATGATAATCCAAACTCAATTAACCATGCTCGTACTGGTACATATAATACAGACCTTTAGCAAAGTAAAGGTCGAACCTTTCTGGTATGATAATCCAAACTCAATTACATATCCTTTCTGGTAAGGCGTCAAACACGTGAACTGTACAGTGTACAGCTGTCATAGATGTTTATTAGAAATAGGACGTAATCTCATATCAGATGTACTAGTACTAGTACAGACAGTACAGTAGCTTTGCTCACTCATGCAATACAAACGTCTATTACACCTTTGGAACACCATCTATCCACTTGCAACCAGTTGGAAATGTTCCCCCACAGACCAGCCCCTAAGGGGCTGGTCTGTGAAAAACCATCCACGCTTTAAGGCAGGGATGTTATCCGAACTATTTTCGAGGATTCTGAAAATATATCAAAAAAAATTCTTAATTTCTATCGAAAGCGTGCAAAAGCAGGAACGGACACTCAAAAGCAGGGATGAATCATCCCTGCTTCAACTCAGGCGTTCCTGCTTTTGAGGTTGTGTTATCCGGAAAAATTCACGTTTTAGCCAATCAGGAGTCGTATTTGCGTGGAAGCGTGGACGGGAATGTTCACAGACCAGCCCCTAAGGGGCTGGTCTGCCATGCTATTATTTCCTATCCTGCACATCGCATGATGATTCTCAACAAGCGGTGGACTAGCTTGCTTGCGAACATGCTGATGGGTCAACTACCGAAGGCGAGGGCAGCGGGCGCATCATTGGTTATCACACCTTGGCAGCTTACGCAAATGCATTGATGGACATTTGGAAGTTTCAGTTCGACTTGAAGCAAAACCCGCTCATCCCAATACGTCCGGCGAGTGTGAAGGAACTGCTGAAGCAGAAGAAGATGGCGGTGGTTCAAAAGGAGAACACAGAGTTCGCTGATCGAGGACGTGGAACTATGGCAGACTGTGTGGATCCTGCAGCACTTCGGCAGATCAGCGACAAGTTCTTCATGGACGGCATCGAACAAGGCTTGAAACATCGTGCCGACAACCTGATGTCTTTGGCCTTGTGTACACGTGGTGACAACCTGCGCCGCTTGACGCTGTCTGAGATTGGTTTGGTTTCATTCGAGGGCGAAGGCGTCAATGGTGCAAGTCTGTTCCGCTGTGTGTGGCGCAAATCGAAGCGAAACCAGTATGGAAACGTTGAGCAGACAACATTCATGCGTCACAAGGACGTAACCCGTTGTCCATTTGGCGCTCTTGCGATGTACTTCTTCTTCCGTTGGCACATGGGTGATGAGCCATGGCCTGACCTCTCAGAGCGGAAACTGTGGTACGACATCTGTGTGTTGAAGGGGGCCACTCCAAGCACCGCAATGCAGTATTCCGAGCAGTACAAAGCAATCAAACGAAAGCACGAGCTCTTGGGTATTCAAACAACGACGAAG